TAACATCTCAGCTAAGCGTAGCTGGAAAACATGTCTCAGTAGCAATATCGGCTTATGTGTTTATCTCCCTCCCCACCACTAATGTGCCAGTTCACCACCCACTTGTGGAAAAAGACCAATCACTCAATGTTCAAAGTAATTTAGACAGAATACGATTTGCTTGGGTGTGTTTTCTTTTTCTTTCTTCCATACCTGGATCACTTCTAGTTCAATTCACCATGGGGACCTACACACTGTTTAAAGGGCACAACCGAAGGACTGCTTAAGCTGGCAAGGCCACAAGGAGGAATAGTCAGGCATCTGCAACTTCAGCTCACCCTGCAAGGAAGAAGCACCTGATGATCATACCTAGTGCTTCATCTTCTCCTGGATCTAGGGGAAGCAGACTGAACTGCATTAAACTCTAAAGACACTTCTTACCTCCAAGCTGAACATCTAAGGTGGATAGAAGCACACTTGGATTTAAAGCATTCATGTTAAGTAAAATAAAAAATTTGTTTAAATGATAAATTACACACTTTTAAACTCAGGCATAAAAATAAAGCTTGTTGATTAGCTAAACTTCCTACATACATACTAAATACCTCACTCTCAAGAATTTAAGAAAACTTTATTTTTAAAAACTTGCTAAGGTAATGAAGTTTTAATGAAACTAATTAAATGCCAGAAATGGCCACCTTATGTCCCTTGGCATTTCAGAAGTGGTGGATATTTTCTTAAAATAAAGCAGGTCTAAACTATCTATTTATTTTAATTCAGTACATTCAACTTATTTAGATATAAAATAAAGCATTCTACTAGAGCTGCAGTAGAGCTGTTATCAAAGTCTAGTTCATTTTGTCAGACTCTTAATTCATGTGCTTAGCAGTGAATTTACCTAGAGCCCCGCTGGTAATTACGTACTGATTTAATACTGGATTTTAGTCAGTTTAAGGATAGTAAATTTAGCCAGAATGGTTAGCTGCAACTTGGAATTAAATGTACCTTTAAAAAGTTATCCACTGTAAACAGTATTTATCTGTTCTGGACACTACAGTAAAATTGCCTATGCATACCTAAGCAGATGAAATAACAAGCAGTTTCAATCAGAAGTCAAAATATATCACTGCCCAAAACAAGCACAAAGACATTTAGAAAATGTTTGGGCTTCCCTGTCTTACTAGTAAGGTGGTAGCTACAGAAGAGACCAGGCAAACTAGACAAGGCCGCAAAGAACAAGTTAAAAAAAAAAAAAAAGTTAATTTCCTAGAGGAGAAACCTCTTAAGTGAAGAAAACCTGTTGCCTACCATTTGCTGGCCTATTGTTCAAGGAAATTGTACTTCAGGGAATATGCACCAACTGAATAACAAAGGAAAAACACCTATCATTGAAGAGGAACATTCAACAAGTTTGTGAATTCCGCTGAACTTCTAGCTTCTTTGTAGTAATCAGAACGTACAGCCAGAAGTGAAATAAGCAGGAAGTCTGATGAGAAAAAGGAAGCCACATGATGAAAGAACGTACTGACAACTAACAGTACTGCCAATTGCCTTAGAGGTTAAGCAAGGTTAAGATTTGCTATTAAGAACAGACCTCAAAACCTTCATTAGATTTGTCAAGAGCAGTATCTCAACAAAGCAAGCAGAAGGATCAACCCTGGTTCTTTAAAGCTTTTCCTAACTGCACTTAGAGAACCCTCGCAGCAAGATACACGCAGCAAGTCTCAGGGATGGGTTACCCGAATGTAATACCCAACAACCTCCTTGCCACCCAGCACTGTGTTCATAACCATAAAACTGCAAATGTTTCACAGCACCTCAAGCTGAAGCCTGCTTACAGTCCTTAAAGGAGAAGTCTTTGACCCACTGAAGCGACCACAAAAATTGTGATTGTCAGCAATTTTTGCAGTAGGTCTTGGAAAGAGAGCTTTCTACTCTGAACTGAGAGATAAGTCTCCACCTTGACAAGTTCTTTCTTAATCCTTATTTAGTTCTGAACTACATGCCCTACCAACACTTTGAGTAAGTTGTCTGCACAAAGTTTTAGGTGGGTTTTCTTAAAAGCTTGAGGGTGGGGTGGGGATTTAGGGAGGAGACATCCCACATGTAAGGGTAGGTCCTACTGACAGCAAACTATAGCTGAAAGCATTACTGTATATTGCACATAAACCTCAGCAATTTTAAACCATAGCAATTTCTACACTCCCAGACAGAGCCTGTTAGGAACCAACAAGGAAGACCAAACCTAGTAAATCATCTCATCGGTCACCTAATCAGTCCGAACAATCACACCATGAATGCATCTGACATTAAGAATTCAATGAGAAAACAAGAAGAGTATGTAGAGTTTTATCATGTTCAGAATGGGAAAAATTGCAATACGAAGGGTATGACAGAGGCTCAGTCCATTCCTTGCGAGTGACACAATACAAGGTTGATAATGCTGCAGAAACACATACAGAGACAAAAAAAACTGCATTTCCCTATTTAACAGTGTTAAAATTGGAGTGCTTGTGGTGTAATTGCTTTGGTCACTACTTGCACAGCACACAGCTCCTACTGCAAAAAAAAATACACAGACACTGATGTTTTGCATCTGTGCTGGAAAATTTCCCCTCAAATTTCAGTTTTCAAATAAAACATGCACATAAAACATGCACTGGATGCAGCTACCACACACATTTAGTAAAGCAAACTTCACCTGTTTGGCTGTTTAAAAAAATAACCAACCTTCCTTCACACCAGATACGATTCTATATAACGGGTAAATTTACAAGTAGAAGCAGCATCTAGTGAGCAGCAATGAAACCACACACATCATATCACATTTATGCAAACTAACAGCCACACTAGTTTAAATGAGTTAAAACCCAATTTTAACCCAAACCAGTATATTTCCTGTGTGAAGATACGGCAGATAAACTGACAGAAAGCATCTGGCAAACTCACAGCAATAAGAAAATTCTTTCATAGCTTTACACACTTCCTGCTAGACTTCCCAACTTCTGGATTTAAAATTATGATCCTCTTCATCTACATGAAGAGCCATAGAATGGTTAAGGTTGGAAAGGACCTTAAGATCACCTAGTTCCAACCTTCCTGCTAGGGGCAGGGGCGCCTCACACTAAACCACGTCACCCAAGACTCCTTCCAACCTGGCCTTGAACACTGCAAGGACCAGACTTAATTACTGCTATTGGTATTAAATCCTACCAATGCACCAAATCCTACCAATGGCACACTAACAATCCTCCAGCAAAACTGCCTTCAAGCTCAATAAAGAAATCCTGAGTATAAATATTTGTTAAAAGCCAGTATAAGCCTATGTGTACACATCCTTTGGTTTACTAAAACACGTTTACACTCTCTTCAACATGTCAGCAGTAGGTAAACTGTACACTCATCTCAACATGTGCCAAAATACCAAATAACTATCAAAGAGCAAATTAATTTTTTCTATATTAAAAAATATTTTACACTAAAGCAACCGAGAAGGAAAAAAAAATATGGTAATGATCAAGGACAGAAGAAAACTCCATAATTCCTCTCCTCTAACCTCTGCATAGAAAAACTGAAAAAAAAAAAAAAAGGAAAAAAAAAATTAAAAAAAAAAAAGACAAAAAAAAACCAAACTAAGGCCTCAGAGAGCACTGGACACCAGGCAGCATAAATTTTAAATTCAAGGAGCTTAAAATCCTTCAGTGAAATCAATTAGCTGGGGGGGGGGGGGGGGGAGGAGGAGAGGTCTGATAACGCTAGCATCTTTCCCACCATTTTACTCTTCCCACTTGTGCCTAGTGGTATTCATTTCTTTCCAGTGCCCCAAAGAGAAGGATGACAAGCCTTCCATTCCTCTTGGTTTCAGAAAACAAATAGCAGGTGGCAGATTCCTCAGTCCTTCCGGACAGAGCCAACCTGCATCAATGATTACAGATGTACGAAAGTAAGTATAGGAAGACTAGAAACATTTATTGCTTAGTTTTATGCTAAAAAGCCCATGTTAACTGTTTCCACTAAGTTTACTCTCAAACAAGCAGGTACCCTCTTGTCAATGTCATACCATTCGGAGGCAATTAAGCTGCTTAAGTTGAAAATCACGCCAGGTAAAAACGAGCATCAACTTAAAAAGAAACGTTTAAGCATAGACAGCACACAAAAAAAAACACTTCAGACTACACAGGCAACAAAATCTGCTTCGCTTTGAGATTATTAGTACCATAACATTTGTGGTTATCTATAAACAAAGAAAATGTCACTTGAGACTAACTTCCTCTGGCGCTTGTCTGCGTGCGACTGCTCTTCAGAGATCTTAGGGATTACTGCCAACTGGATTTCCAAAACCTAAACGCTAAAAGCCAAGTTTACTCTCACAATAGAGGGTGAAACAGAACCAATTCTCCCATGCATTTCTACCTTGCGAGACATCTGATCCCAGCTTGAAGTGAAATCAACTACGGAGGAGCTACCAGACTCCCTCTGTGCAGCTCATTAGGAGGTTTTTTGTCTTTTCCTCGCAACTCCAGGCTATTCCCGACTGAGCTAACAGTCCGCGCGGGGACTGCCGCGACACCAGAGCCGCTCGGCATTCGGGCGAACGCAGCCGGCCTCACCGGGAGAGACCGGCCGCTACCACCGAGAGCGCCGACCTCCTCTCAGCGATCCGTTCCCGCCGGGCTCCGCGGGCCAGGCCGGAGAAGGGACACGCTCCAGTCCTGATACCCTGCGGCGGGCCGCGGCACGTGGCTCAAAGGACAGGTACCCCAGAGGCACCCGCCTCGGCCCCGCGGCGGTGAGGAGAGGCTCCCGGGGGAGAGGCAGCGGGGCCAGCTGAAGCACCCGAGCGACGGGAGATGTCGGCAGGGCCCGGACACTTGCACCCCCCGACGAGGTCACAGCCGGTGGCGGGAGCCCGCGGAGAGGCTCAGGGGCCGTCGGCGGGGAGCGAGGGGGCTCCCGGCTTGAAGCTTCCCCTCCGACAGAGCTCCCACCCGCGGCGAAGGACCGAGGCCGCAGCGACCCACCGAGAGCAGAGCGGTTGCCCAGCCAGGCACCTGCCGGGCCCAGTGAGGGAGCAGTCGGCGAGATCCCGGCCGTCGCTGCCGGAGCCATACCCAGCGCCTCTCCCGCGCTGTCTCCGCGTTGGCAGCCGCGCTGCCACGGCCCGGCCCGGTCAGGCCCAGCCCACCGGCGGCGGGGCGCGCCCTGCCCGCACGACGCCTGCGCGAGGTCGCCGAGTCGGGGCGGTGCTGGGACGCCAGGGTTCGGCGTTCGTGAGGTGGGCGGGTTTGGCTGGTGTGGGACAGCTGCTATGGCCGTGGCGGGGACGTCCGAGGCTGCGGCTGCTCTGTCTGACCCCTGGTCTGATCTTGCGGTGGGCATAAGGCGTTTCTTAGGCACTCCTGCGGGGGTAGTTCCGCGGTGTCCCCCGGCCCCAGAAGCAGTTCAGTATCGTAGCTGGTAGAGGAGGGTTTATGAGCCCGGCCCCTTCAGCCTGGGAAAGGCAATGCTGGGATGCAGCAGGGAGGCAAGATAGAGATGGGGCATCATTTCCTAACGGACACGGGGCAGGCTGAGCTGACTTCTTGCCCCACTTAACTCAGCCATGTGCTGCAATGGCTCACAAGCACCCGGAGTGCTGTGCCACCATCGTGAAGTTGGCCGGGGTCTCTCTTCCACCCCGGTTTAGGGGTGTCCTTGAGACCGGTTCCTCTCAGCTGTGGCCACAGAAGGCTGGTCTGCCATTCTGGTGGCCATGCTCACCATGCCGGGAGCACCGTTCCTGCCAGGGTGTGGCATTGCACAAAGGCTGAGGAGCTTACAGCAAAGACAGTTCTGCGTCAGGGGCCCTGCTCCCCAGCACCTGCAGGGAGCTTGTTTGTTGTAAGAGCTGCACTGGAGCTACATGGTGTACATGCAGGGCAGTCTGCTATGCCGGGGGGCTTCAGGGCCTTGTGAAGTTACTGCCACCACTACAGCATTCAAAATGGACATGCAAGTGTTCAGAAACTAGTTATGACCCTGCACTAGCTGTCCCTTAGTGCATGGGGACATAGCTAACACTCACCCTCTTACCTCTTCCCATCCACGAGGCCTCAAATTCATCCTTTATTGCTTAGTTTTTCACAAAGTTTTTACATTCTGGTAAACTAATTCCCATGCTTAAGCCTTGGCCCACATTGTATTTCAGCATCTGCAACTAGACTTTCCTACTGAAATGGCATGAAACCAAGTCGTAGAATCATGTAATGGTTTGGGTTGGAAGGGACCTTAAAGATCATCTATATCTAGTTCCACAACCTGTGCCACGGGCAGGGGCCCTTCCACTAGACCAGGCTGCTCAAAGCCCCATGCAGCCTGGCCTTGAACACTGCCAGGGATGGGGCAGCCACATCTTTTCTAAGCAACCTGTTCCCACGCCTCACCACCTTCATAGTAAAGAATTTTTTGCTAATATCTAAACTAAATCTCCCCTCTTTCAGTCATATTCTTGTATCAAGGCGGAGGCAGCTGTAGCTTCCGTGTAGTTCCACATATATTACTCTAAATTATTCTGATCTAAATAGTGTATTTCCTTGCTTTTACTCATTTTAAATACCTAAGCAAAAATCGCCATTCATTTAAGAAGCCATATTGCAGTAATTATAAAGGCAGATAAATCCTTGAATGATATTTTTCATCTAGTGCCAATGATGTGTATAGATATATCCTTGCCAGCCACTAACTAGAGTTTATCCACAGCTAGATTCAGTACACTAGACTGCACCTTCTTGTCTGGGACAGTCAGCCCACCTGAAACCTTTCCCCTACACCCCTCCTGGCTTCCTTTCTGGTGAAGAAAATCCACAGAAAATTATGTCCTCAAAAATAGTACATTGGGTACAATATGTGCACTTGAGAACATAAAGCACTCTGGAAATAACCAAAGTTTTAACCCTTTCCCTCTGTGCTTGACTGTCAGCTCTATTCATGTTAGACTGTGGCCACTATTTTTTTATGCAATTATTTTCTTCCAAAGATACATGTATGAAGATACAAGGATGTATCTGAGATAAACATGCTGACAAGCAAAAAATAAAAAAGGTCTCCTTTATCCATTTGGGCACAAGGGTAAAAGGCCTTTCCAGAGAAGCAGCATTTTCTGAGTGTAGTGACGGGGCACTATTGATTGTTTACGTACTTGTTTACATTTCCATTTTTAGCATCTATTAGTACCATGATCTTACAGTTCTTTCACAGTTTAAAGCTGAGTCCTGGTAGAAGCAAATTCTGAAATAATTTAGCTGACTTTGACTGCTGTTTGCTCATCAGAAGTGTCCAAATTGAAAAGGCAGTACAGCAGTCCTGAGAGTAGATGATGTAAGTTTCAGAAACAGTTATAACATGGATAATCAAGATAATGTATTAAATCCCAATTAAAAAAACAGACAAACAAAAAACCAAACAACTAAAGTTACAGAATAGAGTACATAAGCAGAATAAGTAGGAATTGCTGATTTTTTTTTTCCCATGTTTAATTTGTATATCAAGTGCTCAATGTGAAGAAGTTAAGGAATTTAATGAATATGTTTGTAATTGGAAATGCCTCTTCTCAGTCAAATAGATAACCAAGAGCTTCTCAGATATGAAGAACTGGGAGGAAACTTCACATATTTATTAACAAAGAAAACTAACTGTCCTTTTCAACAGGAGAGGAAGTCAAGCAGGAGGATGGGGTTCTTTGCACTTACAAGAACAAATCTTTCTTCCTCTTGGGTCTCCTACAGAAAGTACTGCTGCTTACCCTTGATGGGTCTGCTCTGTCTCTTAAATTTTGATTTATTCTTTTTTAATTTTTGAGGGTGTGTTTCTGTGTCAGCTGCACTCTGCCCTAAAGGAGATGGACTCAGGGCAAGGGGGAATCCTGCTTTTCTCTTTGGTGAAGTGTGGCACTGTAGTGCCCAACTCACAGGTAACTGCAGAACTCAGTAGGATTTCCGAACCAAATTGACTCTATGAAACAAACTCCTCAGAGGTCCCCTTTATTTCAGAGCCTCCCTCTGACTTCAGAAGGGTTGTAGTTAAAAAACAACCAAGAAAAAAAAAAACCACCCACAAAGAAACCCAATTAGAGAACTAACCTGGGTTTACAACACAGCCCACAAGCAGTGAATTGGCACAGCTTCTGAGCCAGCATCTTCCTGTCCTTCTTCACCCACTGGAACAAACACCCCTGGGCACAGGGGAATTCTTAAATCAGCTTTGCCAGAAGGTCTGTGAGACCACCTGCCAGCTTTTAGAGAGAATAATAAACCTCACTCAAAACATTACAAAGGTTCCTTTAGGGTAAGTACTACTCAGCAGCAACTAAAACATCAGTGTGTTATTTAACATTATTCTCATCCTTAGCACTGTACCAGCTAAGAAGTAAATTGACTGTCCCAGATGAAACCAGGACACTTGCGTATTTGTGTATTTGTATGGCAAATTATATATTATAAAATAATACATGGACCCAGACAGTATAACCTCCCTTGGTGTACTGGTTTTGGCTGTGTGGTGCTTAGCTGCCTACTGGAGTTAAACCATGACACTTGGAAGTGATACCTCTAACTCAAAGCAGCTATATTCACCGAATTTTTAGTCAGCAAAATGTCCTAGTTATTGCTTCCCACTTTGCCCAGTATGTAGCTGTTTCTGGTGATGAAAGTAAACGTATTTCTGAAAGGTACTGCCTTACACAGAAAAGTAAATCTCTCTAGCCTAACAGAGCTGTAAAGAAAACAGTTTTGCTCTAAAATTCTAAACTTTATACCTGAAAAATTGCCAATTTTTACAATATTTCATCCTGTCAGCTTGAGAATATATGAGTAAAGAAGCTGTAAAGGTAGTGTTTTTCTAGAAGCAATCTCTCTCTTGCTCCATGTCTTTCTCTTCCTGTCTCTTTCATGATACTGTCCCTCTAATGCAATAACCAGTTAGGCTGCAGGACTTACTTTTTAAGCAAGAATTCAGTTTTGGTTTTACTTGTACCTATGTAAGGTCAGGATTGTGGCTGCCACCTTTCAAGAAATAATTTAACCACTAGATTTTTGGTTTGGTCAGGACTGTGGCTTCTCTGTGATAGGTCCCTCTGATAAGGATAAAATCTGTTTCCTTGGACCAGGGAGAGTAAAGACACCTGGACTTGATTCTGGAGCTAAGTAGTTATTCTACCTGCCTGAGAAGAGACTAGCGTTACAGCTGCTGTCCTAAGAACAGAGCACATACTTTACAAACATTGACATGTGGATTGGAAAAATAATTGAAACCAATTACTGGAGCCTAGCACATCCCTCCAGGATGCTAGCCCTTAACATTATAGCAATTGTGGTAGGGAATAAAGGGGGAAGTGATGCAATTAGCTTTAATTGTTAGTACTGTTATGGTTGCCATTACATTTCCTGAGATGCCAGATCCTGTTGATACTCGATAGGTGTTCCCCAAGAATGCCTGGTAAACAGAGCTCTCCTCAGGGAGAGGAATGTTCATGCTCTGATATTAGCTAGGTCCTAAGCATCAAAGCACACATGGCTTCAGTGCCTGGGAAACTTTAAAGGCTATGGTATGGCTCTTAGGAAGCTCAGGTGCCTCCTAAGTTAATCAACAGCTTTGGGCTTCAGTGGAATATAAGGAGTTGCATGTTATTAGTTTAGCTTCTTGGAATATAAGGAAAAGAGAGGACCATAAGCAAGTACTAGAATAGCTTCAGAGCTTGACAAGAGGACTTACTGGGAAACAACAAAGTCCATCCTACACTGAAAGGAGTTACAAAAGAAGACTAGGGGATTTGAAAGTTGTGGAGAACTGTATTACAAACATACAATGTATAGGCTAGCTTACTTGGTGTGTGGTAGAGGCAGAAACTGAAGTAGCACAAAGTAGACCAAGTCCCTACAGATGACAGCTTTTTCCTGGGTTTTATGCTGTCACCACACAAGAGTTAAATTGGTAAGTTAAAATCAGCATGTAAATACTGTATTAAAGTTTTATATTATAATGCTTATTTTCAGTAAATTGAAAGTGAAGCAAAGGTCTAAGGTAATGAAACCCAAATCCACTGTTTCCCATTCCCCATTCATGCATTATTACAAATTAATCTGATGGATGTTGAACTTGTCACAGCCAGGCAAGTACTCATTGGGGAATCAATGATAGTGATGGTGAGCAGAAAACTAAGAAATCCCAGTA